CTCTGAGCGTCTTCCTGTGGCGAGAGAGGCCTCCGCTGGGCATGACCTCTGAGCGTCTTCCTGTGGCGAGAGAGGCCTCCGCTGGGCATGACCTCAGAGTGTCTTCCTGTGCACGCCGGATCTGGCACCTGCTGAACTCCCCTCCAGACAGAAGGACCGGCTTCAGCCCAAGACGCACAAGAACCGCTTGGCTTGCATTTCGGAGATATTAATATTCAGCGGCGGGGGCTGGTTAGACTGCAGCGTTAGGCTGTAAACAAGCAGAAGAACGTATCACTGCACTGAAAGCTACAAAGACATTCTGCTTTAGTTTAACATGCCTCACATTCGATTTCAAAATAAAAGACCCCGAGTTCTGAAAGACAACCTGTGGGTCTATTAGGAGTCCCTGTCAATGCTGGAGGTATCCCGAAACGTGCAGAGATGCTAACAGTGGCCCGCGCAACAAATCACGGCCAGCAGGGCGGCGTGCAAGACACGCTGATCTCTATATTTGTAGCTGGGAGATATATCGCCATACGGCACACCTGATATCGGGCCGGCTGTAAAGATGTCCACTCCTTTTTCATCTTTTTTACCCGCGGAATGTGATGTGAAACATCTGTGTAAACATCACCAATGCTCTGCTTTTTTTTTTTATCGTGTGAAGAACTCAGAGGACAAGAAGCAGGACCTGGGTACAAGGCTTTTTTTGCAGCCATGGATGGCGGCCACACCTCAGACTGCACGGCCAGGCGGGGGCCACAGCCAGACATGAGAGCCGGGAGCAGGAAACAGAATTTAAAATAAAGTTCTTTTTCATGTCAGGGCATAAAAAATAATACATTTCAGGATGGCAGCTTGCAGCAGTGTGGATGGGCATCCCCCCCCCCCCCCCCATAAGGTGGACAGGGGGGGCCCATTGCTTGGCAGCTGCAAGCCACAGCCTGGCCGTTAAGCGACCTGCCCTGCCCGGTATTCACAGCTCCCTTGGTCTGCCAGAGCACCGACGCCAATGTCTTTTACAGAAAGAGAGAAAAGGAGGGAAAGAATGAAAAGACAAGCCTGAGCCATATGGAGAGCAGACGTCGTGGAGACAGAGGCGTGTGGAGAGCGGCTGAGATTCAGGAGAACAGTTTCTGCGAAGACATGAATGAGGTAAGGGAGCAGGGCCTGGGACGCGGGCTTCAGAGAAGAGGAAACGTGACGGCGCCCCGGCACGGCTCGGCCTCCGGAGCAGCTCCTGCTGAGAGGGCGCTGGGAGCTCCAGCATCCTGCGGGGGCCTCGCTCACACAGGGCCAAGTCTGCGCTTCCTAGGGCCCCATTCAAAAGTCTACTGGGGGCCCCCAAACCCCCCTCAGATGTTTCAAAAGCTAAATAAGCATCTAGCGAGTAATGTCAGAAGATCGTACCCAGCCAGGTTAGCAGAATACGCCGCTTCAGCACCACCGTGTGTTAAACGTGTTAATCTTATAATTAGTGTAATGACTGTTTGTGGCCAAGAGAGGCTCCCGTGAATGACAGACTGGTCACGCAGGGAACTATAATACACAGAACTTGACTACATGAGGTACAAAAGTGACAGATATAAATGCAGTTAAAAGGAGAGAGGGAGAACTGTGGGCAGTTGGGGGTTAGGGTGCGGGGGG